TAATTTATCTAGTTTGCAACTACGGAGGCTTACTGCTCACTACATTCGGTGTGTTATACGTAAGCATTGCTAATGTAGGATAATACTCAATCGCTATTGCTGGTTTACTTGGTTTATAGGAAAAAAACAAAAACTAATTCCGCCAGCTTTGTCATTTTAAAGAGTCTAGTGACCACATTAATTTGGTTATCACTTTTTGATTGGATTGGTATTGCGATTTTTGCGTATGCAATCAAAGTAGGTCAATCACCGTTATACCATTACTTGATCATCATTGTACAGTCTTATACAGGAATGCATGGCATTCTCATGCTGTTTGCGTTTGAGAAACTAAAAGATTTCACATTTGTAAAGCGTACAACGAAATATTCTAGGAAACGCGCAACCAAGAATTCAAAGAATACGCGACTAGCAGACACAATTGGTTAAATAAAAAGTAATTCTAAATGGTATTTATCTATTATCTTCTAGGTGACACTTCAATTTCATCCTGCGAAAACTCTGTTCTCACAACATGACTTTGTACAATATCTGCTTCGATTTTTGTTAATTCTATTTGATTGACTTTTTCCTTCTATTATAAAACAGAGATTACCTTTCTGTTCCTGTAAAACAAGAAACCACCGATAAATATCGCCAGACAAATAATCACCGCTATAATGTACAAATAAGCTGGCTTTAAACCTAGTATCTTGGGGCTATCCGGTGTTTTTATGGAAGTCTGGTTATTGAAGCTAAAATATTGGTAATTTGGCATTTGCGTGACTGGAGTCGGAATATCAGTATCAAAATGGTTGAAGCTAAAGTCTAAAACATACAGGTTCACTAGCTTAGAGATCTCGCTTGGGATACTGCCATAAAAATCATTGTTATCCAAGTAAAAGAATTCTAAATTGACTAGATTTCCAACATCCGGTGTTACTATTCCAGTTAAATTACACGATGAAGCGGAAAAGAACTGCAAATTTGTTAAACTAGAAATTGCCGGAAATGGTTCCCCATAGATTTGATTGTAATCCATTGAAATTTCAAGCATATTTGAAAGCTTTGGGAACCAGGTAGGGAAGCTATCCACAAAGTAATTGGTCCCAATGTAGAAATACTGTAATTGAGACATTGATCCAAGATCGGGTATCGTTCCTTCCAGACTATTGTTTGACAAGTCAATAAGGTATAAATTTGGCAACTTGGTCACCCAACCAGGGAATTCCCCCTTGATATTTGTATCAAACAGCGTCCTAGGTTTAGACAAACTTACAATTCCATCAAGTTGGTCAAATTAGCCAAATTTGGCAGTTCCGCAGGTTGCAACGACATGTTGTCTGACAAATTAAGCTTCTTCAATGCAGAAAGCTTTGAAATTTCAGGCGGGATTGTCCCGGTCAAAGCACTTCCGTTTAAATATAATTCTGTAATTCGATTCTTTTCGCATGTAATGTGCGGATCATTGCAACAATTTCCTTTAATCGTCCCGTTGAATTCAAGTGCTGGTAATATAGTATTGTTTAGTAAAGCGCAATCGTTCATTGCCAAAACTGTTAAAAATCTTTGGTTGAAAAGCTGAAGAGCCAGTCCGGGTACCTTCCTTTTTGGAACCAAACAGGATTCCAACAACTGTTTCGTCAAAGTCACTCTGAAATTGAAAGCTCGGGTTTATCGGAAATTCTTGTGAATACTACCACTGCTATGAAATTCTTCTATTCTCGCGGCTTGGCATATTTGAATTTGAAACAGCTAAACACAATCAGTGTGACAAAAATGACCAGACACAAAGATACAGGAAATGAATAAGGAAAGGAAATGGCGATCTATGAATCAATGCGTACCTCAAACTAACAGAGGAAATATTATTTGTCTCAACTTGCATATCAAAATATAGACTAAATTTTGGTTACAGTTACATCTGCATTAAAAGACTAGCTTTCAAGATCTGTGCCCCACATGGAGAGTTTTTAGTGATTGTTGATACTGCACTCCAACAAAAACTTTAGGAGCACTGGTAACCAAATAATTTCTCGCTGATTCTTTTTGAATGAACATGGATAATTTTTCCATCCTAATGAGTTTTGCTCGCTCTGTTTTTTCCAAAGAAACATGATTACCATCGTTGACAAGAGCTTCGTTAAAGCCTTGATTGAAAAACCAAACGTGATAATACACTAAGTTAGGGATACATTATCGATGTGCGAGAAAAGGATGAAGTAGCCGGAGGAATGTGCATACAATGTTAACGTAGGATCCCAACAGCAAGGAATATCTCTGTAAATGAACTTGAAGAAGCGCTTTCACTGCCTTCTGCAGAATTTAACCAAAAATATGGATTTGCTTTGCCATCAAAGACTGATCAACTAGTATTCCACTGCAGATCTGGAAAACGCAGTGCAAGGGCTTGTTCAATTGCTGAAAGTAAAGGATTCCAAAAGTATTATATAAGCTGACATAGTATCAAGGACTATTCTGGAAGTTGGAATGACTGGGTAAGCAGTTGAATAAAGAATTATCGTGTAAAAAGCGCTGTCCCTGAATTTTGAAATAAAACTACTGAACGTTTGGTGCTGATCAAAAAGCTTATTCCTATATTTTTGGGGAAAATAAAAAAGTAGCCCGTTGGGAGGTTTGAACTCTCGACTTCTTGTTTACGAGACAAGCGCTCTACCACTGAGCTAAACGGGCCACCAAAAAACGGTGGCGTTTATTTTAAAAAGTACTCCAGATCAAAGCAAAAGAAAAATCTAGACTTTTTATTCGATATATTATTCATTTATAGAAGAAATAGTCTTGTTGAAAAAGTCTGCAGTAACGTCAATAGGAGTTGTAAAATGTCTGAGCATCTCTTCCACTGGTTTATCTTGCTTTGCCTTCATTGAATCAATAAACTCCATGTCAAGACTGGAACTGGTAGTCATTTTTACAAGTTCCACCAATGTATCTTCCTCTTGAATTTGCAACTGTTGCCGTTTTTCATTAAATTCAAACTTTATATCTTGCAGATAGTAATCAAACTCTATTGCTTTGTGAGTGTGGATGTGAACGCTCTGGTATGTAATCACTAGTTCATACTCTACTATTCTTCCTTGTTCTTCTTCCTCTTTTCCAATAAATGAAAATACTGATTTGGTATCATCTTCATTTGGCATTTTAAACATTGAGTGACAGTGGAACAACAAATTGTCAAATACTATCAGTGCGTGTTCTTTATCACATTCATCAACAGCTACCAGGTACAGTCCCAGGTCTCCTAAATCGTAATTTGCCAGCATCAATCTATATTAACAATGAGTTACTCGTTGATTTGTGAAAAAAAGGTTTCATAAAGGTCTAATTGTTTCCGAGTGAATTGTTTAAGCAAGTATTCTTTTAATACTACAATAATTTCTTGATCAGAAATCAAGTGTGCGACGTTATCCATCATATACTTTTTGTCTTCATTTGAAAATATGAACTGGCGACGGGTTTTGAAAAACGTAATTATTGAATGGATGAGGAACTGGCTTGAAAAGTTTGTAATATTGACGGGTTTACCTTTGATGATACTGTTAATAAACTGGCTAACACGGGTTTCATCAATTAATTGATTTAAAGGCGGCAATGCTTGCTTAACCTTTACTCTAGTGGCAATCAATGCTTGCAGGATGTTAGTAATTGATAAAAGTGCATCAAAACTGGAGATTTCTTTCTTGAAAATTGTTTTGATGTTGTTCAAGATTCCTACTCTTCCTTCCTTCCTAAAGGATATTGATGTTGAAATTGAAGGTGTTAGCTTTGAGCCTCCGGTTGCAATGCTGGTATTCCTTCGCTTAATAGAAAACTTGTGGAAAAGTTGTTGAATAGAATTAGTGGAAGGAGCAAGAGATTTGTAAGATTGAGTAGATTTAATTCTTGGATGCGAATCTGGCAGTTGTGATTTCACTACAAGATCATTCAATGAATGTTTGATAATACGTTTAACCACTTCCTTATCCCTAGGCAAAGTGAATTTTGGGCTGGTATGTTTAACAAACACGCTATTTTTTAAACAACCCACCAAGTCAGTGTTGAAATCAGTGAAAGATTTCCATTCATATTCTTCAGGTATATTATGTGTGATTGTTTCAACAGGTGGTTGTCTTCTAATCCTTTTAACTAGCTTTAATCTGCCATCAGCATTTACCGCAGCAACCAATAAAACATTAGACTGATTGGATTCAAGTAAATTTGTATAGTCAACTTCTTCTTCAAGTAAGATCAATGTAGCATCGCTATTTTCAAGCAAACTTTGATCGTGAACTAATCTGTAATAAATAGTACTATCATTCGATTCAACGTATGCTGGCTTCTTTTTCAAAAACAAATCTTTGAATTTTAAATGTTTTATCAAACCCAAGAATTCACTTGCTTTCCTGAAATCCAATTCCACTTGAATGCACCTTTCGTCGTGAATCAATGCGAATCCCTCAGCAGTCTTGTATACATGCAAATCCTTCAACAGATAATGACCAGCATTTACATAATCATTTTTGCCTTTTTTTAACACCAACACAAATTTTGAAAATACTAGCAGCTTGATTGGTTGCGACACAAATCGATCCTTGTGCAAGATTAACTGATTCGCGGAGAAATCAGTTAAAAACGTAATTCTTTCTCCATCATAAGTAAATTGGAAATTTGCTAGAGTTTTGATGTGAATTTGCTGCATCATGTTTTCCATATGATTTGAAATCAATGAATGGTTAAGTGCTTTTGCAGATCTCACTGATATTTCATATGCATCTTTGAATATTTTTTCGTTCCCTGAATATTTGTATAGTGCTTCAAATAGGTTCTGGTAACCAATGATCCTTCCTGTAGGTTTTTGAAGCTCATCGCCCAAGTATTTTGATTTACCCGTTTTTGACTCCCAACTTTGTTCGATTCTAGCAACAAAAGTTCTAAATTCAAATGTATTCATCAGACTAGTATTCTTTTCTGATTTCGAGTTCTTTAATTGATCTTGCTTAATGTAACGCAATTGGTCATGAGCCAAGGTGTAATCTTTTGTTGGTGGAATGATCAATTTTATATGCTTTTGAAATATCTGACAAAGTACTAGTGGAGTGGTAGCGCTTTCCAAGTCTTTTAAATATGATTTGTGCGCTGCGAGCAAGTTTGATACTGGAATCACCGTGAATTTGATGATGCTTTGACTGGCCAACCCTGCCTTTTTCCAATTCACCAGAAATTCATTGTATGCGAAATCAAGAAATTCCAAACATTGAACAAAGTTCTTTTCGGTTTCAATCATTTCGTACAGTTTGGCGTTCTGTGCGTGTAAATCATATCTTGGCTCTATAGGTTTGATTTCTGTTGGTTTACACCGTGTTTTAGGAAGTAGCCCTTCATTTAATAATAGAATACCGTTTTCCATCAAGTATTCACTGTCATCAACGTAATAATTCCACACATCTTCTATTGGTTTATCCAAGAAAGGTTGGAATGCTTTCCAGATCTTTGAGCCAGTGGATCCGACATAGACATCAACCAGCGCAACATGATAGAAATCCTAGTGTTAATTTCAATTACAATTAAGGAATCTCGTATGTCCAACACATTTCCGATACAAGTTTCGTTTAGTTTGATCGCGTTTTCGATAAATTTCGATACTTGTTCATCAATATTTTCATTTACACTTTTGCTGCTATCGTAGATATCCAAATTTGTAAACGGCTTGAGGTACTCTCTCAAAAAATAATCACAATATGCATCGTTACTAGTTAATTTTGGCGCAACAATTTGTAGCATTCCTAGTATTCCAATCACTAGCCCAGCTACATTATTTTCCTTGTCGTGATATACTAACACCAATCCAAAATCTTTTTGAACATAAAGTTCACGAAAACTGCATATTTGTAAACTAGTATCTTTTTGTGGTGTGGATGAAACCTCTCTTGTCCAACCGTTTGGAAGTAAAAGAGAGTAAATCTAGATTAAGTTGAAGCGACTTGATTTTCTTTGGGGGTAAATTCCATGCTGGAGCGCAGACTTGAAAGAAGCTTGTTGATCATGCCTTGAACGCGTAAAGGCAAAGCAAAAATTATCCTTTTATGGCACACTAGATATTTATTTTGATAAGTGAGCTTGGAACCACTTTTTGAAATCAACGCAGTTAATTACAACACCTAAACTTTCCAATTTTTTGGTCGATAATTGAACATCAACAGGTCTGGTAGCAACTGGATCTTTAGGAGGTTCAGCATTAGGTTTCAAATGGCCAATATTGGTTTTTAATATTTCACTAAATACTTGACACATTTGATATTTTGTCATTCTTTGTTTGGCACTGAAATGATAAATACCTTTGGTTTCTTTTGTTTGCAACAAAGCTAGGTTAGCGCAGATTACCAATAATCTTGTCTATCGCTAAAGCAACATCTGCTACATTAGTAGGGAACCTAGATTGATAGTGATCCATTTCAACAGGTTTAGGGTTTGTAATCACATCAATAAGGATATTAACTGCAGATTCGGCATTAAATAATGTGTTTCCGTATAATATTGGCACTCTTAAGACTATACTACTAGGAGCATTTTCTAATATAGCTAGTTCCCCGAGGTACTTGCTCTTCCCGTAAAAGTTGAGGGGGTTCGGCTGATCTTCTGCTTCGTAAGGTGGGTTCTTTCCATCAAAAACGTAATCAGTTGAGATGTAAATCAATTTGAACGAGTATTGAACAGATAGTTTTGCTAATTGTTTGCTTGACTCGACATTCAACTTTAGAGTTCCTTGTTCATCGTTGGCGCATACTGGATTAACATCAATTACCATCTGGCTTTCGTTCCGCTGCACAGTGCACCACTATATTTGGTTTGTGTAAAGAAATAAATTCCTCCACTTTATTTGAATTTGTCAAATCCAGTTTCAGAAGGCTGCCCTTGGTTCTAGAGAATGCTGTTCCGATTACAGAATGATTTTTTTGTAGTTCTTGGAATACGGCTCTCCCAAGTAGTCCCGACGCACCTGTTACGATTATCATTACGGAAAATTGTTTTTCACAAACAATTCAAAGGTGCTCTAACCCAGAGATCGACTCTATTTGGACACTATTAAATGACGCTTGGCAAATTTTAATAATCAAATATTGGACTATAGTTGGCAACTGCGCAGAGAGTTTTCAAATAATGAACATTCGAGGATGAAATGCGGGATGATTAGACTGGGAGAAATTCAGGTTTACGTTGACGCTTCTTGATTTACACTGGGCTAACCTGAACCCTATTTAATGAACTCATTAACATGGATGGCTTTCCCATGTTGGATTTTTAATTTTTGTAGAGTCATCAGTGCAATGAGTAAAAGTAACACTAGTGAACTTTATTTACATTAGCTGTTCCATTGAGCTGATCTTCTAGCCACCATTGGATCCCTTTTTGTAAATTTAAATCCTCTCCTAGACAAATCTCTTTTGTAAAATCGCTGTGTATTTGAAGGTAACGGTATAGCATCTCGTTTTTCTTGCGATGGGATAGGAGCAGCAGCAATACCAGCAATCAAAAGTAAGCCAATTTTCATTGCTGAGGAAAGAATAATGGCAGTTTTTAAATGCCTGTCAATTGTTTGCCACATGTCAATATTTACTTCAAAATTGGCCATTGTTACAATACCCGCTCAACAAATACTTAAAGCACCAACGGAAGCAACGATACATACTGAGGATGCC